CCCCAAAACCCCAAAACCCCAAAACCCCATGAGATAAACTGTAATATTTTCGAAGATCAACTTACTAAAGCTAGCAATGAATATAACTAATTATATTTAGGATTTAAATAGTAAATCACAGCATAATAGAAAGTAAATGGAAAATATCAAGACATAGAGTCAATTTTTCCAACGCAGAATTGACCACCTTTAAATCAATTCAAAGTAACCTGTTCTCTCTAACTATGAATCCCAGAGAAGAGGTTCACAGAATAGAAATTTATATGTGCAGGGAGACTCTAAAATTGATTCATAAGTGACAACAGATAGTACTAGCTCGCTTTAAGTCAGTGGATAGAATCAGAGTCACAGGTACAATAAAAAACAGTAGTCACTATTTGGAACTCATCTAAATATCCCTACTAGAGTAAATATTTCACCATTAACACTCAGCACTGAATATTAGCCAAATGAATAAACTTTATATTCAAAAGCTCCTAATTTATTCCATATTTCACCATCTTCTTCTCCATAAATCACCAGACCTCAATTAATCAATGAGTATAACGAACCATTCCGAGCAGGGAAAAATGGTTTATTTAAAGAGAATGAATATTCCCAGAGTCATCATAATTTTCTGAATAAGCGTATTTCAATAATGACAAAATCGTCAGAGAATTTGTTCAAGTAAAAGATGATATACCTAAATTAATTTAAAAAGGGGGGAGCACTAACTCCAAATAGAAAGTACAGAGAAAAGTTAGCGAATCACTAAAAGTCATCAAAGGATCGAATTAGTGGTCTAGATTCATCTGGGAATCTGAATTAAGAGCAATTTCCACCTTAATTAAAAAAAGAACTTTAAAATATAGGAAAAATTAATAGGATAAGTATTAAGAAGGATAAGTCTCAATCGAATGATTACAATTATTAAGAACCCCCAATAACTATGAAAATTCATCCGATTCCGCCTCTCAATTAGAAATTGTAAAGCCTGGACAATAAGGACAATTACAACTAGAATCAAGTTTCAAAGATTAAATCTAAATTTAGGTCATAAACAATAGAAACTAATCACTCAAGCGCGTTGTTTAAGTTAGAAGGACAATTGAATTTTCCGTTGGCACAGCCCTCTCACATTCTAATAAAAACAGCTCCATTAGAGTAAAAGATATCTCCTAAATTTTAGCCATCTTCACAAGATTTGGAATAAGAATAATAGAGTACGAATGTAAAGAACTAATTAGAAAAATTTCCCCATAATAAATGCTCAGGAGGTGGTTCATCAACAAATGTCAGTGTTAAGAAGCATTCTTCGAACAAACTCATAGGTGTTGGGGATGAATTTCCGAGTAGAAAAGTGTCTAACCAGTCATTGTCAAATTAAGTTAAGAATGAGCAGAAAGGGTCATAAAATAACCTTGGAGTAAATAAATTAAACTTAATTAGGAGAACCACAGTCACTTCAAGTTATATAAATACAGCATTTAGATCAATGCGAACAACTGGTAGAGAATCACAAACTAGGAAAATAGAATTATTCCAAAAAGCAACTGAAATAAAATCTAAATACAATAAAAATTACTCATTTGATGAGAGTGAAAATGACAGTGATTCAATAGGATCAATAAAAAGTGACACAGACTCAGATGCTAAACTAGAAAAAGATCTGCTTCGCATTAATCTCAATGAAAAAATAATCAAAGGCAGAAAGCCAAGCATAGCTAGAAGAGGTTCCACTATGAAGGATATGAATTTCGGATTCGGAAACGAGTTTTCAAATAATGTGATTTTTGAATCTGTAATTAGAAACGACTTTCAACAACTTCAAGACTAACTTAATTCTCTATCATCCTAATTTGAAAGAGTCTAGAAGTTGAATTAATAGGACAAATTTCTTAGAACACCTATTTTCTATGCTATTTATCACAATAACTATGAAATGGTTAATTTTCTTTTAAACCAAGGATCTGATACATTATTTATTGACAATATGAATAGAACAATCTTGCATTACATCTGTATCTTGGGATTAAACAGAAGTATACTATAACTGATACTTGATTTTAATAACAATTTGGACTTTGAAAACGCTCACACAGAAGAAGCATATAAACTATTCTTGAATAAGCCAGTTAATTCATTTGATATGCCTTAGAGGAATATCAATAGAATTAGTAGACCCTAGCTTAAAATTGAAATAGACAATCTTGGATCAGCTAATTCAATCAAGAAAAATAGATATGATGATATATAAGTGACTATCCCAGAACCAATGACTTCGCTATTGCCAAAAAAGAAAAAAATGCTTGATTCCTCTAAGCTGTCAGTTATAAAGGATGATAGATCTGAGTCAAATTTAACAATATCAAATAAGAATGAAACTACAAGTGATAAATTAAGAGATTCCAATGGAAAAATTTAGACTATTTCTCTCGCCTCTCCCTGTGATAATCAATTAATGGCTTCTAGAAGGATATCAAGTCTAAAAGGTATAGGGAGGTCAGGCTCCTCCATTACTCCAAGAAGTAGCTCTAATATCAATGGAAGTGCTAAAAAATCTAGTTTATCTAGTTAATTGGGTGAGGAGAGAACTAAGATCAATAACGAAATAAATATTAAAAAGAACAAGAACTACATTAAGATGATGAAAAAATTCATTAACATTTGCGATAAACAAGGGAAATCAGCATTAGCTTATGCTGCATAAAAAAGCTAAATAGGCCTTGTTAAGATTTTACTTGAAAGAGGTGCAGTTCCAATTACCAGAGATTATAAAAGTCGAGTAAGTTTGATTCTAAAGATTCAACATTATATTATAGAAACCTATTGATTTGGCTACTTGTGATGATTTGTTGAGTCTTTTAAGTTAGCAAGAAGCATTATTTGATGAAAAGTTTTCTGATAGCTTGAAAACTTTTAGAAAAAATCTTATAGCAGATGAGCATTAGAGATTAAGGTCCATTTAATAATAAAAAATGGGGCGAGATATACTTCTTACCTTTACAGATGTCATCAAAGAATAGAAAGAAGATGGAGATGATTAGGATTCTATTATGGAATAACAACATCAAAGAAATAAGCCATAATAAAAAATGTCTAGAAAGGATATAGGTAGAAGAATGACAAAGAAGATGCAAATGAATAAAGCTGAATTAGCCAGTTGGAGTGACAAGCTCTTGCTTCTTTATCATATTGGGATCTATAAGGATAATGCCCTGACTTACAAAATGAGATTTGAGGATAAAGAAAATTTTTAGTACCTATTAAAGAGAGGTATTTCAGTGCTTTGTACTGATAAAAATGGAAATAATATCCTCCATTACGCAATCTAGTTAGAAAAAATTGAATTTTTAAGTTACCTGCTGGAGGGGTCTTTTTAAAGTGAGATCTATGAAAAATCACTAGGACTCTCAGCAGACAGTTTATTTGATCTTTATATTCATTAAAAAGCTAAAGAACTTAGTGCTAATCTGAGAACTGGCCAATTCCCTTGGATATAAGACTCATTATATGCATTAGAGAAGAGTAATGATCGAGATGGAAATAATTCGCTACACATGGCTGTCGACATAGGAAATCATTAGTTGTTTTGCTATATTGTAACAATGCTAAAAATCAGAGATCATATGAGATTTATGGATAAAAATAGATACATGAAGCTTTATAATTCCTATGAATGTTGTCTTGAGTTTAAGAATAAACACTAGCAAACTCCATTACTATATTCGGCAAAGCGCAACTAATATAAAATTTTCCAGGAATTATTAGTTTAAGGAGCTCAAATTTATGTTTAATGCTCTAAATTCATGAATATATTGCATTATGCTGTGCTAAATGAGAATAAAAATTTGATAGAATAGATTGTGTATTGTGATGCTGAAACTGATAGGCTATTAAATGAGAAAAATTATAGAAACCTTACCCCTCTAATGATTGATGATAAAAAGAAATATGAAGATATTTTTAATCATATTTGGAGTTCAGTAGCTATCTGCTCTCCAAGCAATCTAGAACATCTGGAGCATCTTATAACAAATGATAAGTTTACTGTAAATTAAAAAACTCTGATAGGCTAAAACTCACCTCTCCATATAGCAGTTATCAATGAAAATTTTAAGGCTATTGAGCATTTATGCAAGTATAGAGATATCAATTTGCATGATAGAAATTCTCTAGGGTAAACTCCTAAAGACTTGGCTTTATTAATTCCCAAAAAGCGGACTGCAGCTAAGATTATTGACTATTTAAATAAAAGAATAAGTTAAATTTAATAGAGAGAAAAAGGGAATTTATCACCAGCCTATTCAAAGACATAAACAATACTTAAAAAGTCTACATTTAATAAAAAATCTGCAGCCGTAAGATTAGGTACAATAGGTAAAAATAGTTTTCAGATAATCCCTTAGCAAACTGAGCAAAATAATCCTCTCCCTCAATAAAGTGAACAAACTTTCAATTCTATTAATTTTTCTGCCTAAATTAAAAACCTTGTTGAGCAAATGGGAAAAGTTATAATTGGCATTGAAAGAAGCAACTCTAATATGGGCAGAAAAGCTAGTGCATTGTCATTGGATTCTAGTGAAAAGTCTGATGATTATTTCGAAGAAGAGAGTTCTGTAGGAAGCAATTTGTATTTAGCAAGCCAAACAAGTATCTTGATGGAAAATGATTTTAAGAGCAATCCAAATGGTAGAAATCCCAATTGGGAACCTCATAAAATATTTAAACTTTAGAAGATATTTGACAACTATCTCGAGTTGTCAGATTTAATTGGGAATTTCAATCCCTAGATATTTTAAAGATGGAGAGCCTAGTTAACTAAAATAGATGATACAATTGTCATAAAATCAAAGGAAATATTCAAGTAGACTGATGAAAGGAAGAGAGGTTATATCACCTTATAATAAATCTACAATAAAAAGTAATTACTTTTAGACAGCAAAATCATGGAGGAAATTAAGTTGATGAAGCTGCTGGATCAACTGGATAAATAATATTAAGACACTAAAATTACAGAGTCAAAGTTCGTATAGCTTATTTTAGATTTTGCAATAAAGAAAGACAAAGTCGTGAATCCAGCAAAGCAACTCAAAGAAAGTGGAAGTGCGGATAGTGTGCAGCTATTTAATAAGGACAGAGATACCTTGAAGGTTAGAAGATGAATTTTTTTAATAAGGAATAACCAAGTACCATTGAATTTTAATACTCACAGATTTGAATGAATTTATGCCAATTGAAATAACCTAGTCGGCTTATTTGGTTTGTATGCTTGTAACTTATATAAATATGCTGAATAATATATAGTTAATAACAAATTTGAAATCTTAATTGTAGAAAATTGCTCAATTGCGGGGTTTTGGGGTTTTGGGGTTTTGGGG